AGGTTCAGCTGTGCTTAAAAGCAGAGCCGAAGATCTAAAGACTAGCTAGAAAGCAAGAAATCCAACCATTTCCTGCTTTCTAGCTAATCTAAATCTCCTGGCACAGCAGAACAGATGATGGTCGGAAAAAGAAAAAATTGCAATTTAGCAGGCAAGTTTGCTGGGTAAGGAGTGAGTGGGCGGGGAGGGTTCCCGCAGGCCATGTGGGCAGCACAGCCTTGTGTTTTTGCACAGCCTGGATTGTATTGGGTGGGTGCTCTTGGGGTGAGATTTCTCTGTGGCCCACCAAAATTTTCTCACGGCCCAACAGTGGGCTGCGGCTCACTGGTCGGCGACCGCTGATCTACACCAGGGGTGTCAAACTTGATTTCATTGAGGTCCACATCAGGGTGGTGATCTTGGTGGAGCCAGGATTGGTGTGGCTGGGGTGGGCATGGCCAGCTCAATGTCACTTGAATCGGAGTTGCTGGTGGTGGCCTGAGCACTCTGCCAGTGAAAATGGGCTGCCAGTGTCCGTTTTTGGCTGTGATGGTCTGCTACATCCCCTGCAGCTAAAATGGAGCTCGGGATGGCCATGGCTGAGCTCCATGTTCACTGGCAGAGGCACCATGCGCCAGTCCTTCACTGTTTCCAGAGTGGCCCCATGGCCTAGATCTGGCCCCATGGGGCCACTCTAGGTACGGATCTGGGCCTTGGGCCTTGAGTTTGACATCCCGATCTACACTAAAAAGCACTAAACAATCTTATGGCAACATATCTATGGAGTGCATTCTATAGTGATCCTAGGGAATCTTCAAAAATACTCTGTCTTGCGGAGTAATTATCAGTTCTTATAAAAAGTACTATGGAATAGAGTGGGGGTGAGTCTCCATGCATTTGACTATATCCTTTCTGTGGTTAGTCTTCTAAACCAGGGGTCGCCAACCTTTTGCACCTCAGGGACCACCAAACTCATAATTTTAAATCCTGTGGACCACTAATATGAATCCAGCATGCCGCTCGCTGAAATTCCTGGACTCCCACTGATGGGATGGGGTCCTTCAGGCACTTAGCTTGGCTGCCTGTTTCTGCAACCTTAAATACTCAAAGAGTCATTTGGACCCGTTTCCCACAAAAAACAAAACACCGGGATCTCTCATCTCTCTCCCCCCACTCTCTCTCTTTCTTTCCCTCCCCCCTCTTTCTCCCTTTCTCTCTTTCTCCCCCCTCTCTCTTTCTTCCTTTCTCCGTCTTTCTCTCTCTCTCTCTTTCTTCCTTTTTCCTCTTTCTCTCTCTTTTTCCCTTCCTCCCTCTATCTCCCTTTCTTTCTTTCCGTCTCTCTCTTTCTCCCTTTCTCCCTCTTTCTCTTTCTCTCTCTCTCTTCCCCCCTCTCTATCCCCAGGGGTGGGGGTGGGGGAAAGGAATCTCTGAACTGGTGCTGGGTGGTGGGAATCTGATGTCCTGAGGCCGATGAGCCACATGCTGAAGACCAGATGGCTGGTGGGGCGGTGGGGCAACAGGGGTGATACTGGCGGCAGATGGACTGATACGTGTGGGAGATCGCAGCATCGGAGCTCTTCCTGTGTGTTCCCTGGCCTGAGGGGGAGGGTGTGATCTCCTGCACTCTTCCCCTCAGGAGCTTCTCTTCCTCCTTGCCATAAGTGCTCACACACAAAGCGCTCACCGCTCCTATGGCATGTTCCAAGCCTCTTCCTTCCTGCTGAGCATGTGAGCGCTTCTGGCAAGGAGGAAGAGAAGCTCCTGAAGGGAGGGGTCAAGCCTCCCCCTCGCAACATCTTCACCTAAGGGCATCGCTGGTAGCCTCTTCCTGCAGTTCAGGAGGTCTGTGCTCTTCCCACTGTTCCTCGGCCTCCTCAATGCATGGAGGCAGGAGGTAGCAGACACGACACGGAGTTGACTGCAGGATTGCCCCATCTCCCCACCAGCCATCTGTCTTCAGCACATGGCTCATCAGCCTCTGGACTTCAGATCCCCACCACCCAGCACCAGTTCAGAGATTCCTTCCCCCCCCCACCCACATCCTTTCACAGGCCAGGGAACACCCAGGAAAGTCTCTGATGCCATGATCTTCCCCATGCTACCTTCCCTCCCCGTGCGCATCAGTCCACCCACTGCCGGCATCACTCCTGTTGCAGACATGGGTGTGCTATGGCCCACCAAAATTTTCTCATGGACCACTAGTAGGCCACAGCCCACCAATTGGCGGCCACTGTTCTAAACTGTGTTTAGTCTCTTAGATGCGGCTTCTAAGGTGGGAAAGCTTCTCCAGCATAGGCTGCAGAAATTGAGGATGGACAGGAGAAAGGGAAGAAGAACAGCAAGGCTCAAAGAACCAAAGGTCTTTCTTTACACCTCAGTCACTTCAATTTTTTCCCTCCTGAGACAAATGTGCGCAGCACTCAATTTTTTCTTAGTCTTTATATTTTTAGCCTACCATATTTCAGCTACTATAAAAATCTGGACAGTCACTATATGATACAAGAACCAGTTTAGTCTTGTAGTTAAGGTACCAGACTAGAAAATAGAGGACTGTGAGTTCTAGTTCAAACTCAGGCATGTAAGCCCCCCCACCTTCTCTCTCACCTTACAGGGTTGTGGCTAGGTGTGTTGGATATGTTCACCATCTTGAGTTATCTCTAAAAAAACAATAAAGTGGGATACAACTAAATAAATAAAAGTAAAGAAATAAAATATGGCAGTGAAGAAGCTGCCATCTTGTCATCATTTAGCAATATCATACTGCCCCATGTTAGAAAACAGCAAGCTTTTCTTTGGCTATGGCCAAGGATGTTGAACAACAAGGCCCTTACCAGGACAATGCACAGCCAGCCCATCATAGCTATTCATTTCACATCTATTCAGTTTAACCCTGAGAATGTCTGGATAGCAATAGCAATAGCAATAGCACGTAGACTCATATACGTACCTCTTCATAGTGCTTTAAAGCATTCTCTAAGCAGTTTAAGCATATTGCACCCAACAATCTAGTTCCTCATTTACCAACCTCAGAAGGATGGAAGGCTGAGGTAACCTTGAGCTGGTCAGGATCAAACTCATGGCAGAAGGCAGAGTCAGCCTGCAATATTAACCGCATCATTTTAACCATTGCGCCATCACAGCTCAGGGTTGGTGCAAGATACTGTCTTGCAGCTTGCCCATTAGTGTTCCCTCTACCAAACCATCTGGTTTTGAACTTCCTCACTCTGTCTGGTCAAAATTGAACAGAATTAGGTGTGATCCTGGAAAAGTACATCTGCCTTGTATCAGTGGGAATGGAAAGATTCACCTTGTTGTGATTGTAGTGCTGATAGGCAAACTATTAAACTTATTGTGCAATCTTGCTCACAACATGCATTGTCTGGTTCCCTAGAACAGAAGTGTCAAACCGGCAACCAGAGGGCTGGATGCATCACGCGCAGGTCTTGCTCACCCCAGCTGTGCAAAGGGGAGAAAAGGTCACGATACGTCATGTGATGGCAACATGATGCCGCGGGTTTGACACTTGCGCCCTAGAAGATGTACACAAAGCAACGCCAGAAGAGATCACCTGGATAGTTGAATTGGACATGCAGTTCTAAGGCCACTACCATATCCCTGTAAAAGTTTTGTATATAATTACATTGTGTGTATAAGTTATTTCTCTTCTCATCATATGCTTAATAATAATAATAATAATAATAATAATAATAATTTTGGTTTTCCTAAACCAAGGTCCAGAATAAGAATGTCCATATCCCAGTATGTTCAAATGTCCATATCCCAGTATAATAAAGACAGGCCAGGACATTATTTAGAAGGTACTAATTTTCTTCCCATATATATGTCCGTGTATGGCATCTTTGTAAGACTAACTGCATGTGCAGTTATTCTGGAATTTTTGGTGAAATAACTTAGATTGATTGATTGGATGACTGAAACTATATTCATATCTCACAAAAGTGACTTTGGAGGACATGGAAAGAAAAATAATGCATAGCAGCTTGGATAAATAACTCATTCCAATAGTAAAAATGCTTCACCAACAGGTTAGCCTAAGCTTCTGGACTAAATGTCTGGTCAATCATCCAAGTCTTTGAAGTTCTACAAAAGGCTTTGAAGGTCATGGCTTTTCCAGGAGGCCTATCCATTTACTTATAAAGGAAACATTGCTGTGTTATCACTTTCTCTGAAACGGTTTCTTACTATATGCCCATTGGTGTTATTTTATTTATAGTACAAGGATTCCCTCATAATCATTTATCTGATCCAATGATATTTACCTTCCTATTGATACAAACAGGAAGGTTTTTACACCTGTTTTTTTTTCACACTAATAGGTGCATCTGACTGTTGAATAATCCACTATTACTAAAATTAGGACTGACAATGTTGGGGCTCTATTTTATAGCACCTTATAGAAGTCTACCATTCACTAAAGAAAGGGAAGAGGCTTTATCCCGTTAATAACTGCTTCTGGTGGATGTGTTAGGAGAGCTATTTGATTAAAAAAAAGTGGTGGTGAATGTAAATAATGGATATTATTAAGCACTGTAAAGTCATATTTTTGTTAAAAAAAAAAACAATCTCAAGGAAGAAGCTGGTATTTCCTACAATGTAAAAAAAGTTACTTCATGACTCTTGTGGAAACAAAAATAATTCAGTTATGTGAATGAAAGAAAGAACTCAACATTTAGGAAAATCGCTAATTTTTTTTTTACAACAAAGCATTGTATACATTTCTTGAAATGATTAGATGACTTACTCAATTTTACTGTAAACACTATATACTGCTTTAAGGCCATATTGGGTGGACTCCTGTTCTTGATCGACCCATTTTCCACCACAGAGGACATTTATCTCTCCCACGAAGGTCCCTTTAGATGTGGGGGAAGAAATATTTTGTTTCCTTTCCACGATCTCTTACCTTTTAAGGTAAGAGATTGTGAGGGAATCCTTTCTGTGTTCTTTCACTTTGAATACTTTTTATTTAAACTACGTAGGTTGTGATTCTGTGTGATATGATTAAGCAGCTTTTTTCTCTGTGAATATTTTAAAACTGGATTTCCCTGAACATGACCTTTTGAGAGCTATATGTATATGTGTGATTTGTGATAAGGGCCACAGTTATCTAAGAGCACAAACTCTGCATCTAGATAATGGTGAGTATTGCAGATGTTCTTTATTTCCTTTACTTACTGAATTAGCCAAAATTTTTAAATTGAATGTTTTCAGTGAATAACATCTTTATTTTGATGCAAAAATAGATTATTTTTATTAATTTTTAATGCAATTCGCTGATAATCAAAATAATGTAGCTTCAAAAGTAGCTTTAGAAGTGTAAGTGGTAATGAAAAAGTACTCCAAAACTGATTCTACTAGGGAAAACTATTTGCAGAAAATGTGTATCTTAGACAGAATTGTAGACAAATATTAAACACATGCACTAAAATACATACAGATCACATTATGATCTTTAATAAAATAAATCCGACAACCCAATAAGTCCAACAAATCAAATAGGTCTACTTTTCTGAACATGGATAGTTCAGAAAACCTAACAATTAGGTTTTTGCTCATCACTTACACAGTCCAAAATATAGCATTCCGAATCTATGGCTGTCCAGTGTCTGCTTTACAAAATGACATTGCAACCCTAGAGAAGAAAATATCTTTCTGTGTTTGAATGAAAAGTTGGGATATAAATGATACCAAATACAACACAAAATAAAATGCATTCAACCTTTTGAGACTAATCAATTTAATTATACAGAACATCACATTTTAATCTCATGTTGTTTAATCTGGGGCATAGCATTATAATCTGACTCTGTAATTCTATGTGTGATAGTGGTTACTTTTCTAAGTTTAAGACCATAGCATAAATCTACATTTGAAGATATATGTTGGAATCAAAAAGAGCTTGCTTAGAGTGAGGAAGGCAACCAAGATAACTGTTTTGTTTTCATATAATTGTCAGAATCACAAGTTAGCTCAAATCTAACTTTGTGGATTTTACAGTTTGTGGATATTAAGTATTATCTTAAATTAGGTCTTTTTAAAAGAAATTGTTTGCTTTTTCTATCTAGTTATCTTTACAAATTTATATTCATATATATTAACATTAATATTTCAATGTAACCTTGTAGGACTGAGCAGGCTGAAATGTATGAAATAATGGATAAAGCAAAATTATAAGCATAGGTCATATAATTACTTTTTCACTGTACAGCTTAACAGTAATCATTATAATCATATAATTCTAAATTATTATGCATAAATGAAGAATGTATTCATTTATAATGAATCTGAGGTATGGAAAGTAAACTGTTAACACACTTACTCTCTTTTGTATTTTCAAAATTGTTGGGAAGATAAAAATGTCACCTCAGTTGCTTTAATCTCTTTTCTTGAGAATAAGTAATGATATGTGCTTCTCATATATGCATTTGTTTGCTATAGATTATAAGTATGAAGCAATTCAGAAATTAGATGAGTGTACAAAATTACTCTCCCAAGATATGATTATGGCTCAAAGACATGAAAATATTTTAGGCCAAAAAACAGATCTCTAAATCAATTATTGGCTTAATATTTCTTTCAGTTTTCCTGGAATTTAAAATCTTTTGGAAAACTACCAACGATAGAAATTTAATTAAGGATATATAGATCTTACATTTAAGTACAGTTAGGATTTGATAGGGGCCAACTTTGCTTTATGCCACAGATTCATGATTTAGAACTACAGAAGATTCACTAAGTAGCTCTTGTTAATTCTATTTCTTAAAAAAATTAAAAAAAGAGTTGTTCATGATCAATACTACAATTATTTATAAAAGGACCATTACTTTAGCTCATTTCAATGACCTTTCATCAACAAGGCCCCATCCCTTGTTGTGTTTAGAAATTTTGTTAAGCCTTGACTGTTTTAAAACACCTTAAGAGAAAAAAAATGACCTTTGTTCACTGGCAACAGAATTTATTTTTAATTTGAATGTATTTATTTATTAAACAAATTTATATAGCCACCAATTTACACATTGGTAACTCTGAGTGGATTACAACATTTAAAAAATTTAAAGTGTTTTGTTCATAATATATGTAATACACATTTGTGATCCATACTATTATGTAATTTTATGTATTTGTTTGTATATTTTGTTTTTTTTCAATCCAAGTTATACAGGACAAATTGCTTATTCAGACTGTGTTTGAAGCAGCATATATACTCTGCAAAATACACAAACATCATTGACTGAAAAATATTGCATTATTCCCATCTCAGGGATGAATGTATGATGAAAGCAGCATGTATATTTATTAAATTAGTACATATGATGTGTAATATAAACATTATTTAATTAGTTGTGTTTTGTTGCTAATTTTATTTATTAAAAAGATACTTGCTGATTATGTGGGTCAATTTTTCCCCCAGTTTGATTTCTGCGGCAAAATAAACCAAAGAAATAAAATAAAATATGCCACCATACTTTTCTAAAGTTGGTGTTAACTTCCTGTCTCTTCTTCTTTCCTAGGAAGACAACTGGCAGGATCAAACCAGATGTGCAAGCTTGAAAAATAAATTTATAGATATGCATAACAGTCAATCCTCTGATTCTGAAAGGTATTACATTTTGTTAAATGTTGCCCATTTATTACCCACAATCTGTCTAGCTATAGTCATTGTGAATAAAATGGATGAAGTACAAATCCTGGAAAGACAAGTCATTCATGCTAGTTATCTAATATGTAATCTATTCCAACCCAAGCTTTCCTGGAAGCAATTCCTCATAAATCCACTGGCACTTACCTCTGGTTCAGGCTTCAGTTAGGTTAGAATATTGCCTGAAGCTGAGTAGAAACACACACATAGTTTCCAGGGCCTCCTATTCCCTTTCTTTTGCTATTTCATAGTATTAACCTGCCTTTAGCTATTGCTGCAAATGCAGAATATGTATTGCTGTACAGGGCTAGTTCTACACAGGATAATTTTACTTGGAGGCCCAACAAAATATAGAAAATGCTCTGAGTTATCAGGCTATTTGGGTTTGTAATGATCATGCTGGATCAAGTTGCTGAAGGTTGAATACAATCATACTAGGCAGACTGAACACTAAGATTCAGCCTCAGTTACTGATCTCCAACTGTCATCAAGTGTAGGCAATTTCATATCACACTGATTTGATTAAGGTAATACCAATAGACAGATGTGGATATAACTATAATTTCCCTCTATACAACCTGTCTTTGAACATGGCATGGTGATAGATATCAAAAAAGTACTTAGAGATTTCACTTCCTATACAATTAGACCCTGCTTAATGACTGCCCTACATAGCAAATGTTCGAAGTTATGCCAGTGCTGAAAAACTAATTTTATAGTGAATGAAGGCACATATATATGTTCCAGGATAATGCAGGAATTATGCAGGATCCAATCTGAGTTGTCACCGGGATTAGAGGTTTATTCTTTATTCAAGCTTTTGGACTCATGCTGGAATCATCCTCATGGAACTTGTTTCTCTCTCTCTCCAGAATGTGTGCGCTGGACTCTATTATGTGTAGTATTTATATGGTGCCTGGTTGTAGGTGGCTTTTAGTTGCTAATTGCTAATGGCCAGCTATTAGGTCACTGATTGTTGTTTCCCTGTGTTGCTGTGCCCTCAGTTTTGAAGTACCTGGTAAGCTAGTGGTAAATCAGCACTCCTGTTGACTGAGAAGGGGCCTATTCCCAAGCTTCAATCATTTCTTTGGCTATTCTTGTCCTTGCTTGGCCAGCAATCTTAGTAACTGGGAAATTGAATGCATGTCCTTGTTCATTGCAATGTGAGGCTGCCAATAAGTTTGGATCTCCTCATCTAACCACTCACTGTTGTTCTTGCAGTCTGTGGTGAGCTTTCTCCCTGTCTGTCCTGTATGAATTGCCAGTCACAAGGGTAATCCATGCAGGGATTCTGGTAAATTACATTGGAAGTTTCCCCGCTTCCAAACAAACTTTGTATCATGATTTGTCCTCATGGTAGTCTCTGGATGGAGGGTTATGCCCACTTGCAGATCTCAGAAGTTGCATTCTACTGCTTCCAAAAGATTTTGGTGAATGGCAGGATATATAGTTGGTCTCGTGGCTTCCTTCTGCCTTTCCCTCCTGCATGTTGTGCTAGCATCTTGTGATAAACACTTGTGGGTACCCATTGTGCCTGAATTGTTCATGTAGGAACCTGCTCTCCAGTTGTTTTGTTTTCTGGGTACTAAGTGGATTCTCACCCTGCCATATAGTGTTCTGATGCGACTCTTTTTATGTGACACTGGATGTTTACTGTTGAAACTCAGAGTGGATTGAATTCTGGTAGCCTTGTGATATACCATAGTTTCTTCTGTGTCGGACCTATTGTAGCACTGTGAGATACTCTACCTACAACCTGGCTAAATGGCTTGAATGTGTTCTTAAGCGTCCTGATTCCACCCTTGAAACATCAGAGTCACATCCTTCACACAATTTTTGACACAACTATGAGACTTAAACATGGCCCCTGACAAGATCACGTTCTCCATTGATGTAGTGTCCCTACTTACATCCATCTCTCCACACTTAACCTTCTCTCCAGTAAAAATGACTCCAGTAAAAATGTTTGCAACTATATAGTAGCTGTAAAATGCTCATTTTGTCTTCTAAAAATGTTTGAGATGCCTTAAAATAAAACAAAGCAACAGTATTAAAATCACAGAAAGATTTTTTTTTTAAAAGCTACAGAACTGGCCATTGTTTGACAAAACCATTTTTTCTGAATATATCCCAATTATTAATAACATTAGCCATCTCTGAGTAAAAAAGATGATGTAGCAGCTATTATACAATGAAGAAAAGTAAAAAAATGTTTTTTTTTATTAATTGTCTTATATTTGCAACCTATTTGAGATGTACTACTTGTGCTAAAAAGTCATATTAGCCTTCTCTTAATCAGTGAAGATTTTTAATTACTGAGTAGAATGTTCAAAGATATTTCAAGACTTTTGAGGACACCAAATGTTGCCTTGATATTAAGCATTTACACTTTTATATAGGTGCAGATTTTGTTAATTATTGGGCATTCTAAACCAGATGTTTTCATGCTAAGTATGACTTTTTTTTTGTTTTAGCTATGTTATTTCTGTGGTTCCAAAAAATTACACAGAAGCTATTAGAAAACAATTGGTTCTATCTACATTTAACAACATTTAGTTTTCCAGATGTGTCATTTTACAGACAAACAGCTGCCAGCTATTAGCTGTCCTTTAAAATGCCATTTCTTTTTCAGCAGATGTTTTGGTTGAATTAGAATGGAATGAAAGTGGTATTTTTCTTTTTTACCTAATTTACATGTCTATATATTATTTAAATCTATATTTATCTACATTATGCCATAGCACCCTTTTCTAAAGAGGAAATAATGATTATCTTCATAGCAACCTATGCACATTTTTGAATACAGCTTCAATAAAAGCTCTATCTAATTGGTGACTGCATCCATGCAGTTTTCTTAGAAGCATCTTGTTTGCTGTCGCTGTCCTCAGTGCATATTTGCCAGCACCCCACTTTAGCTAATAATTGTAGGAAGTCCAGAATGCCTCCCATCAAAACATTAAATAAGGCTGACCCTTTATCTTCTGAGATCAGTTAGGTGCTATACTGGCTGAGTCAAACAAGAGTTAGACAGTGCAAATCCTTTTCTTGTGGTGGAATTTTCCATTTGTTTTCAAGGTCTGCATATATATTCAGATGCCTTTGGAACCTGATGCTATTAATAAATGTTAACTGGAAATTATGGGAGCTATCAATAAAATATATGTGTGGATTGTCACATTGGAGAAGGCTGGATTACAGTAACAGAAAGACAGTAATGCTGTACTTGGAAAGTAATGCTTTCCAAATGCCTTTAATAAAAAAATAATCTCAGCCTCAAATTCTTTGTACCATATTGTGCAAAGAGCTCACATGTATGTTAGATATGCCAGTTGATATACAGAGAGTCCTCATCGTAGGACCACAATTGAGCCCCAAATTTTTGTTTTAAGCGAGACAATTGTTAAGTGAGTTTTGCCCCATTTTACAACTTTTCTTGCCACTATTGTTAACTGAATTACTGCAGTTGTTAAGCTAGTAACATGGTTGTTAAATGAATTTGCCTTCATTGACTTTGCTTGTCAGAAGTTTGCAAAATGGGATCACAAGACCACAGGACACTGTAACCATCATCAATATGAGTCAGTTCCCAAATAACTGAATTTTGATCATGCAACCATGGGGATGCTTCATGAGAATCTTGCAGGGGGAAAGTCAATAGGGAATCTGGCAGGATGGGTAAGTCTTGCCTACTTACACCCTCTCTGCCAGACCTATTGTAGTATTATGCTGGCCATTTGTGAAGTCACTGCATCCTCCTTCACCTGCAGCAGCCTCTTAGCTGCCTGCTGGGAAAGAAGGAAGAAAGGAAGGAAGGAAGGAAGGGAGGAAAGAAGAAAGGGAGGAAGAGGGAGGAAGGGAGGGAGAGAAGGAAGGCAGGAACAAGAAGAAAGTAAGAAAGGAAAGAAGGAAAGGGAGGAGGAAAGGAAAAAAGAAGGAATGGATAAAAAAAGAAAGGAGAGAGTGGGAAAGAAGGAACAGGAATCATTTCTAAGTTTCTTTCTCTGCCCGTTATTCACCTGCAGCCTTCCCCAATTTTAGTTGCTTTCCCCCTCATCTCTCAAGGTTATTCCCACCTACCAGTAGACTATATGAGCTCAGAAGCAATTTGGATCTGATAATGATCTGAATGCTTTATAACATTGGTTCTGATTTTGAACCATTTCATTCTGGATAAGATATGTTTTATAAATATTTAATTAAATTCCTAACAATATACTGAAAAATAGCTTGTTTCTCTAGCAATTTGAACTAACATCATTTGGAAAACTGATATTTCAAACATAGTGTGTATCATGTTCCAGATGATGCTTTTGGCATTTTTACTGTAAAGATATTTTCACAGTCTTTTAGCTAGATCTGTCTTGGTGCTTATCTGAAGCTTCCATTCAAGCTCATACTTAAGAGATACCAAACAGAATCAGATGGAGGAGTGTATTAAAATGCCTAGCATATAAATTATGCACATTTATTTTTGGTAAAGTTATACTGAAGAGCATATTGTAGAACTTACAAAAAAAAAAAACCATGGAGATATTAGAGATTTTTTTTTAAACAAATTTTATTCAGTTTTTCACATTAAAAACAAAAATCTCTTTTTAGTGGACAACATATTTCCGGGTCATCACCTTTACATACAAATATGACAGCAATTATACATTCATATATGCATACGTAATTCTATTATTACCTTTTCCATTCGAAATTTTCAGTAAGGAGACAAACACATTAATTCTAGCCTCTTTCATTAATCTCAATCAAAACATCTTTTTGTTTCATTTCAATTATTTCAAATATAATCCTTTAATATTTATTTTAAAAATAAAGATAAACAATATGTGTTTGCCTAATAATAATAATAATAATAATAATAATAATAATAATGGTTACTAATGTCTCTCCTTTCTTTTAATAGTCTATATTAACTTATTAATTTAGTTGGTTCTTTAGTCTGTCAGATTCCCTTTCCATTACACATTCTTTTTATAAATTCTAGATTAATACAAATTTTAACACTAAAGAAAAAAAACAAGTATAGGTTTCCCCCCTTTTACTGCTTTAAGTGTGACACCTCAATGATTAAAATATACCTTTATTCCCTCATCTTGATTCCCAAAAAACCATTATTTTTAAGAAGTTACAATAATAATCATTACATCTTTTCATTTGGATTCCGCAGCATATTTCCCCCCCTTAATTTTTAATAAGAGTTATCAGTATCTATATTACCCTATTTTCTAAATATTTTTAATTGCAAAAATATTCTTATTACCCCTTGCCACCCTTCAGAATCCCCTTTTTAATTCATCAACCATTATTTCTGAAAAAAACATTTCTTTTCAACATTTTACTATTTCCGTATTTCTTTATTTCATGCGCCTGTTTCTTACTGCTTCTCCCCCCCTCTTTTTCCCATATCTTTTCTCATTCCAGTTTATATCCCTCTCTTTCTTAATATCTTCCTTTCCCCTTTTCTGCTGGGTCTTTCTGCGTTTCCCGACTTCACAGGTATTCCCCCTTTTGATTGCCTTCTTAAATCTCAACTTTTAACCTTCCTTCTTTCCCCACTTCTTTGTAGTGTTCTTTGTGTTAATTGTCTATTTAAAATGTCTTCTCCTTGAATTGACTCCTCCTCCTCTGAAGCTCTTTCTTGTTCTTCAGTCACCATTTCCATTTTTTCTAACACAGAGCAAAGTGATTCACCTCTTTCCTGTAGTAATTCTCTCATATTTTTAAGTTCCATTTTTAATTCCCGAAGAGATATCATCATTACACACTCTTATATTTTATGATCGTTAAAGTCCACACACACACAAAAACACTTTTACTTTCCTTCTTTCTTCTTTCAATTTTCTAAAGTTCTCAATTATTCAGCCCAGGGTCTATGCCAAAAACATCAATCAATCCCACAGTCAGTCTTTCCTTGCTTTTTTCTTTTTTCTGGTTCTGCTTTCACTTTCTAAGATTCTTACTTTGTTTCAATATTTCTTTAATGTTATATCCACACAAGTTCATTCAGAAACAGGATGCTTTCCCTTTTGTTTGAGCTCAAGTTTTTGTCAAAAGGTGGCACTCTCCATTATACAAAGTCTTCACCTTTTCCCCCTATTTTTTTATTTAGGGTTTTTCGAACCTCAATATTCCAGCACAGTCCAGTCTCCAATTTGTAAACTTTATTATTATTATTTTTTGACAATCTTAAGTCCAGCTTTATTTTATGCCTGTTTATTGCCAAAATATTTTAGTCAAATTTAGTTAAATCTTTAGTTCCAGCTTCTTCCTGTCCCGGTTCGAAGCCCCGCTTAGCTGTCAAAAATATTTTCTTATTTTTTTTTCCTGTCCCCTTGTAATTTCGCTGCTCACTTTTCTTTTCTTAAAAATTCCATGTTACCTTAATCCCGGGGTACTTTTGTTTAGTTGTATTGCCCAGTTGTCCCAGTTCAGATGTTATCCACCTCTTTCTTCCCTCCTGCACAAATCTTAATCCAGCTGAGTCCTCCTCTTCAGAGTGGCCATTTTAAACCACCACTGCAGTCGTCTTCAGGGGAAAAAAAACCCAAGCCGAGGGGGGGGGGAGATGCAGCTCCCCTCAACCTGGCTTGCAGCTTCCCTTTACTCCACCGGTCCTCCAAGGCAGTTTCAGCCCCTAATCGTAATGATTGGGGCTCTCCAACAAAAGAGCACGGACCATAACCACAGAGAGTCGCGATCTACGGTCCATCAGCGAGGAGGCCGAGATATTAGAGATGTTAAAGCAACAGAATTGGGGGCTACTTTTTTTTTTTCTGGTGGTGGGAATTGAAGGAATGTCAACAAAGTTTTATTGCTATTTTTTCCCCAAAGCATAAAACAATTTAGTTTTGTCTCTACACAGCCATGTTGTATTGTATCATGGTTGTGTAGAGACAAACATAGATATCATATTCTTGGCCTGTAAAATTGCATAGCAAGAAAGCAAGTGAAACTGAATGTATTTGAAAGAAACTTCACCTTGTGGAATTTTATTTGTAACAAAACTATCAAAAAAGTACAAATCTATTCTGGTGGGAGCATAGTATCCAAAAGAATAGTTTGCTGAGAGTTTTTTTTAATGGGATTTTCCTTCAGACATATTGAAAATGAACTCCGCCAGTAAAAAAAAACAACCAAAAACCTGTTGTATCCTAAATTTGGATAATCTACACTGTGTGCATATTAACTTTCTCCTCTTTTGACATTCCTTTGTGTCTTCCGGCCTTGCCAATAAATTTCATCAAGCCATTTAATTTAAGAAGTGGGATGGAAAATTCACCAAAATGTGATGGTAACTTTGAAATAGTACAGACAAAAAAAGGGGGGATTTCAGAAAATTCCTTCACAGTAGAAATGTGCATGATGTGGCCTATTCAACTTTCCCTCATAGCTTTTTCAGGTAATTACCCTTGCTTAATTGTTTTTCTCACAGGTACCAAAATAATTATTCCACAATCCTTTATTGTTTAACATACTAGACTATCTATGGCTCACAGAATATACACAGAATGTCAGGTGCCAGAGCAGCTCAGATTATGCTGTCAATATAGAAGGCAAAGAGATTGTTTTGATTGATAGTGATTTTTTTTTTGTTGCTAAAATAAGGGGACAAATAGGTATGCTATGATATGGCAATACTGAATGGCACTATTTCAAATCTGAACACCCCCTACAGTACCCTAAAACAAGCCAAATATTTTATCCCATTCATAATGTAATCTCAAATATACATACATGCATACACATACACGTACATAAGAAATATAGCTCTGCTGGTCTGTACCCCAGCAATCATCATTTACCTTTTAATTCTGCCTCACTTAACTGATCAGATAGTGGAAATAATGAAGATGTAAATAAGAAAATTTTCTAATGTATGAATAAGATATACTTTGAAGGTATTTTAATATATGTTTGAGTCACAGGTTGTAGTATCTAGTGAAGCTTTGTTATTTTACTCCTGAGTGCCCTCTAGATTTTAAAAAGAAGTACTGTAATATTATTTTAAACTAAGCAATTTTCTGTGCTTGTTTCCAATCAGAAGTATCCATCCAAGTATTAATGAATTGTCTGGACGTAAATTTTTATGTAAAAAGAGACATTTTGTATTTTGTATCTGTCTTTACCAACCTGGTACGTTCAAATTGTTGAACTGTAAATTCTGCAAATTGAAGTGCAACATATTTGGGGAACACCAGATTGGAAAACTGGATATTGTTGACTGATATGTCTGGAATTGAATGAATTTAAAAAGCTGGATCTCTGGCATAGCTGTCAATTGTAAAATTTAATTCTGTATCTCTTGTTAAAAAGACAAAAATTAAAATGCAGCTGTGGAAAACGTGTGCCTGTATACAAAAATAATTTCTTGTAAGGTTCAAAATTTTTGATCAGCTGATGGAAATACAATATAGATATAAGAAAAACCTCTGGATGAAACAGTATAGAAAAGTGACCCAAATAGGAAAAAGAAAACTCTTTAATTTACTTGACTGGGTGGTCCTGTAATTCAAAAGTTCTTTTGAATATTTCATTGAAAACAAAGAGGTTTAAATTTAAAGAACTTTATACATGTGGCCACAAAGCACTGTTGCAGATTTATACTACATATGAGAACCATATTTTATCTTCCAGGCTGGAGATATTTAAGCTTATTAGATCAAAAGATTTATATTATCAACTAACTTTGCTTTTTTTTAAAGTATTTGAACAATATTTTGTAAAACTCATAACTAATTAACAAGTTATCTTTTTTAACCAGAATCTCCAATTTGACTTGATAGAATAATTTTTGGGAAAGTTTTAGAGTGTGCTTAAGAATATCCCTAATTAAACAAAGAGTTGAATTAATATAGATATATTTGACGTCTTTAGAAAATAAGCTATCATTTATTTTTCTCTTTTGAAACCAGATGCGACAGTGTAGAACTTGATGATAAAATAAGGATTCTGATCAGGAAAAATGATACTCCAGAGTTTTGTAAGAAACCAGAGGACACTTCATGTGCCTTAAATGTAAGTATCTTATCTTTGTCATTCTTGACAGCTGCTTAAAATTAGTCAGTTTAATTTCTTTTACATAATTGTACAAACACTTCATTTATTGCTAAATTAATGCAGCTACCTCCCTGCCATTGCTTTCTGGTAGTAGGAAGAACACTTACATTATATGGCATTATTTGTATAGTAGAGTAAGACATCGTGACATTGGTGTGGTAGGTTTTGGACATCAGGTTTATTATAATCAGTTCTGCAATAGTCTTGGAGATTTGAAATCAACACATCAATGAAATGATTGCTCAGGTTTGGAGGGATGAGATCAATATTTCATATTTCCATCTTCTTACATCCTCATTTATGTTATATTATTCTGTCAGAACTGTACAAAGACAAGACATGGATATATCGTACAATTTATTTGAAAAAAAATATTTATTTATGCTTCTCCTTTGTAAAGAAGTGTTATATCATTATTCAGATACAGAAATACTATCACATGGTATGCAATCGAAACTGCACAGAGATTTGTCAGAAATACTTTATTTTGAATTTCATTACTGTGCAATGGATTGGAAATGATAATTTAAATGGCAGCTTCCAAATTATTATTCTGTCCACATTTCTTCACTTTGAAGATATATCAGAGCTAGATGAAAACTCATGATTATATGATATAATCATGAGTCAAAGGGAAATGCCACCTTTTCTTTACCAATCAGACTCAAAGATGGAGTTTCTTCAGCAACAGTTGCTAGATTTCATTCTTTGTTTCCACATTGTAATCAGTTGTGCTTAATTTAGAAGGGAGGGGGGGAATCTAAGAACAACATCTGCTTGATATAACTAAAATAATGTGGTTTACACCAGATTCCAAAGAATACTTAACAAACTGACATAAAGAGCTGAAACAGAAAACATTGTTTTTCATTAAGTAGTTTTGTGTATCATACTAACACTAATGAGTGTTGTGTGAGTAACGACAAATAATTCAAAAATCCTACTACTTATTTTTAACCTTTTTTGGACCTTGCTAGATATTTTTCGTTCTTCTTACTACAATTATTTGTGGGGCGTTAAGTTAATGTGTGGAATGAAAAGTGAGAAGATTTTGTTTCATTTCCCACTTAGACATTTTTGTCCAATAATGATTTGACAATACTGTTTCTTTAATTTATCTTTCTATTTAATATGAATATATCTGTAAAACATCTGAGCAAGAGCCAAATAGGTGCCAAAAGAAATATCTATAGTGTGTTAAAGCCTAACATTAAAATATTGGTTTTTAATTAGTTAAATTTCAGCTTGCTATAATAGAACCACAACTCTAGATCTAGGAACACAATAGCCTGGTAAGAATGTAAGTGGATTCTGCTTCTGGTCACATCTGTTCTCTACACGTAAGCCAATTGCTTTTCATTATGAAAGTGATTGTCAATTGATTGGTTAGAGAAGTCCAGATGACTGAAAAAATAATAATTCCTGAAGGATGTCTTTTATAAGGTCCACTTCATCATGTGAAGAATATTCCTGATATTTTTGATAACCTCCTGATTATTCTCAGGGATTGTTCATGTAGACCTTGAAATATTGATAGAAAATAGAAGTGTATGGATGCAAAGTTGTTTATAATGAATATAAAATTATAAGATTGAAAAACACATACAATTCCTGTATAGAATTCTTTAAACCAGTCCAAAGGCACTTCTCTATTTTCTTACAGCAATCTCTTTCAGAGCGCAAACCTAACTGGTAACACTTAGACTCATTTCTACCTAGTCATGGCACCCATGTTCCCTGGAAATATTTTTTTTACAAATTGTGCACAAATTGTTGATCATTTCATCTCTAGCCTATATAAATAACAGTCTAAATTCAGTCTCAACTGCAGTATTATTAAAATAGTTTTGAGTTCTGTTCTGGGAAGGCAGTGTAAATTAATGAAATTTCATTATTTCATTATTCATTACTTTGAATGGACTCAAATGAATAACAGTGACCTGAAACAGAACTATTGCTGATTCATGATGAGTGGATAGCACACATTTAGGAGGCAGAAAAGATCAGATAAAATTTGGAATCCAAATTCCTTTAGATACTTAAGACTTCAAGATGCATATCTTTCAGAATTTGTATAAGATGACTAAATGAAACAAAGCATAGCAATATATATAATCTTATTTGTCCTCAAACTGTCCTATTGGAATATTGTTGATAATACCCATTAAAAGCTAATGTTGCTGCGCGAGTCTTCAATATGAAATAGATATAGGTGAAAAATGATTATGACAAAATGAGTATTTTAATACACAGTATTGTATAAATGAAAGTGTACAATACAGAAAGAAAGTAACTATGTTTTAATGAAAAGAAAAATAATTTATAAATTTTGTCACCAGCCTTCTAAATTTCAGAGTGCTATATACTTTTCAAGAAATGCACCTTTTTGACATTAGATTGCATTTTTCAGCCTGCTGTTTGGTTTGGATGAAAGAGTAGATACTCTTGAGAAATAAGAAAATATTAGAATAAGAAGACTATAACCACTATAATAACCTGAAGGTGGAATATTTTTAATGGTACAATAAAGCTAAATTTAATGTGATTTTCAAAGCTACTATGTTAGAAGTGTCACATTAAGAATATGGAATAGATATAAACTCTGACTGTGCTTGAAAATACTTTTATTGGTTTCAACACAGGACACATTTTATAGAAGAAAAATAGCAGGCAAAGTCAAATTGTTAACATATCAGGATTTGTTAGTACAAGAACATGAGAATTTAAAATGAAATCAAGAGAACAATTGAGTGCAGAGACATTTTTTGTTTTCAATATTTTAAATAGTTTCAGTTCTTATACACAATTAAAAGAAAGGTTTAAGGTACATAGAAAAATAATTGAAATCAAACATAAGACGGAATTTGAAATTGAACAGTGTACAAATGATGATTGCTAAAATGTGTTATCTTTGTTGAAGTTTGAAATGGAAGAACAAGTTAAAGAGCACATGATAAAATGGACTAAGAATTTTGGTTATAAGATACAGATGGATTAGTAGGAAAGAATGTGGTTAAAAGGACTGAAATTTACATTGTGCCATAATTTAAGACAATACTTTTATAAAATGATGTACTGTTGGTGTATGAGTCCAGAAAAAAAGTACATAGGATATATAAAAGTAGTTCTGATCTATGTTGGAGGTATGAAAAGCCTAAAATTTTTATCAAAACCCACAATGGAAAATTGGATTGTGAAGATGTCAGGATTTGCAGAAATGGCAACATTTATCGGTTTGATCAGAGGTTAAAACAAACGTACTTTTGTAAAAGACTGGAAAACTTTTGTAAAAGACTGGAAGCCTTTTATGATTTTTTGTTAAAATGGAAAAAGAAATCAAATGATGTTTGGATTTTCTGATTAAAAAGGTTGAATATGGAATAGAGGAAAACTATGTGTAGAAAGAGATGAGAGATAATAAGTTGGCTTGTAATGAAAACAAAAAAATTGGAAGTTACTTTATTAATTACCTTTTTCTTTTCTATTTGTATTGTTATACTTTTTCTTTTCTTTTTTCTTAGTCTTTACTCTATATTTCTTATATTTATCTTTTTTCATGTAAAATCTTTAATAAAATTATACTAAAAAAGTAACTAATTAACTTCAGTTTCTTTAAGAAGTGAAAAGAATGCTATTTGCTACATTTTATTTTGTGAATAAAATGTGACATATTTCTTTTAGTTTTCTTGTGCTTCTTTTTAAACCGCATAGTCATTTTCTTTTTAAACCCCATAGTCATTTGGCAGCATAATATTTCTACATATCTTTTGCTAGTGTTTACAGTTTCTACACTGTAAGAACTCAAATGACATCCCATAAACTGTCATCCTACTATTCAAAGTCTGTTTTCAAAATTAAGCGTACACAAATTTCCTTCCCTTTTCATACAAAACACAAAATCTTTGTGGAGAAAATAAATCTGAGCTTAAAAAGTAGCACATGATTGAGAAATTAATAGGATTGCAAACATCTGCTTTATGCATCAATTATCACATCTGTAATAATTTTTCATTGCCTTATGTTGCAATATTGTGGGCCTTTCCTAAGACATTGTAATGTTAATTATTCTTACTTAATTTTAAGGGAAGAATCTGTTCTTCAAATACAGTGTTTACCCCCTAGGAAGACACAGTTTTTCTCCCTGATAATTCATGTGGTTTCATATACACTGCTAATAAAAGAAGGTTTTGAGAACAAAGGAATAAAAAGACACTGCAAATGATCACATATCCTGCAGCTGGAAAATGTAGATGCCATTATGAATTAGTCAGAGGAGTCGCTGTTACTTGAAAGTTGTTTCTTTCCAGTGAATTTATTTTCTAATGCCTAACCAGGCTTCAATTTGCTTTTCTTGTCTCCATTTTATTTCCATCCAGTTTTGTTTCCCATTCTTTCTTTCTTGTTTCTATTTTCTTCTTTTTTAACCTTTCTTTTAGAAGAAAGACAGGACGTGTGTCTATCATGTGTTTCTTTGTTTAACAATAATTTGGGTGTATCAGACTCAATGAGATGGTATAAACAAGTGACCTTTTAGAAATGAGCTCCCTTATTTTACAGGTGCTAATACATTATTCATTTGTAAGTCTCTCTCTCTCTCCCCCCCTCTCTCTCCTTCCTTCCCTCCCTCCCTTCCTCTCCCTGTCTTTGAATGAAATTTCTGTTGTACACTTTAACAAGTGTGACCTATGCATCTAATTATTAGGTTTGATTCCTGACATATCATTTAAGAATTATTTCCCCAATTTGTCACTGCTAATGACTATGGGAGTAATAGCCCACCAAAAGCTTCTTGTAATCCTGCTCAAACAGACCCAAAGAATCAGTAGATTAAGCTTGATAAATCTGAACATCCTTAAAAATAGTTCAGCCTGTGCCATGGCAATGAATTCTTGCAGAATGGAATTTTCGTAAGGAAGTTTAGAACCAGTTTCATTTTAACTATTGCCTGGCAGAGTTTTCAAAGTATTTTTTACCTATCACACATCATAAGCGACATACCTACGTTCACAGCAGTATAAACCTAATGTATTAAATGTTTATCACATATTTTGTGGGACAAAATACACAAAGGCCCTGAATATTTCTCACAATCTATTTTGTGGCAAAGATTACTCAACTCTATTCATTCTCATTGCTCTAAATCTGGACCTGCAATGTAGCACTTATCTAGATGGCACTCTTTGGCATCCTACCCATATATTATTTTTTAGAAAAAAAGTTATTTTCAATAATTAAAAATAAATTTTAATTAATAAAATAATTTTAATCTAAAATTTAATTGCAAATTAGCATGCTGCAAAGCAAACATACAACCTCATGCCATGTTTATTTTTTGGTGAAGTGTCTGGGTTCTATACAGGTACACTTAAAAAACAATAATGGATGTTGCAATGTTCTTTTTGGAAGTTTGCCCCTTAGAAAAAATAGAGGTAAGCTAATATGGTAGACAATGCTTGCAGAAGCTGAAGAAAGGAAAACAAGATTTACCTTCTGCTAGATGGATTGACTACATTCGTGGCAACCATTTTGTGAGAGTTTCCATAAGTTTTCACTTCTTAATATCTCCATAGGCCTAGAATATTTGAGGGATCCTGTCTAAAATAATGCTAGTTTTGCAATAATATCTTAAAGAACAATCCAGTGAAATGGTTTCCTTAATGTTGAATCTTTGGTGCTCTCTGAGCTTGGTGTTTTCTTGCAGACATTTTGTTACCCAACTTTAGTGTGAGAAACTAGAAGGGAGTGGGGCTTGCTCTCTGTTTATTTAAAGTTAGCTTGGCCTATCAGTGTTGATGGGGGGTGCTTTTTCTCCTTAGCAGTGTCTTGATTAGGCTGTTCTTTATTTGATGTTGTGTCTGTGTTAGTATTTCAATTCAGTTGTACCATGAGAAACATATATTTTCTATTATTGATCCCCCTAATTTCTATGACCACATGTAGCAGAAAGAATTTAGAAACATAAATAGACACAGTAATAAATTTTCCAGCTTTCTTTACATAAATATTCAGCATATTTTAAGTTCAGGATACAGTATACGCTAGGAGAAAATGTAAATCTGCAATTTCTACTTCAATCAGAGTAGAACTGGAAAAGATATTGGAGGTCTTCTTGTCCAACTGTCAAGAAGGGTTTCAGCATTTCAGACAAGTGGCTGTCCAACCTCTTCTTAACAATCTCCAGTGATGAAGCACTCACAACTTCTGAAAGCAAGCTGTTCCACTGGTTAATTGTCCTCACTATTAGGAGATTTCTCCTTAATTCCAGATTGCTTCTTTCTTTCATTAGTTTCCATCCATTGTTTCTTGTCTTGCCTTCTGATACTTTGAAAATAAGTTGACCCCTCTTTTGTGACAGCCCCTCAAATACTGGAATGCTGCTATCATGTCACTCCTGGTCTTTCTTTTCGCTAGACTAGCCATACCCAGTTCCTGCAGCTGTTCTTCATATGTTTTAGTCTCTATCCTTTAATCTTCTTTACAGTTCTTTCAAAATTTATTTATTTAATTTGTCAAGAGCTTACAATGTAACAGAAACAAGAACAAACTGTCACGCCCCTGGTGGAGACTGACTCTGAGGGAGAGGAGGAACAGCCAACAGGGAGTGGAAGTGTGGCTCCAGATGTGGTGAAGGAGGCTGGGGAAGGGCAGAGGCCAGCTGAGCAGTCAGAGGAGGACCCAGGCCCATCCCCTATCCAACCTAGGGCACACAGGGAGGAGAGGATCAGGGGAAAATGTGGTCTACTTGGAAGGAGAGGGCCATGATCCTCTTCATGGGTTGCAGGTGTGAGATCTGCATAAGAGTTTGGACCTGCCTGCTAACAAAGGCTGGAGACAAATTAGTGTTTTATTCCTAGATGAGGTTTATCTTGGTTGGCGTTTTTCCAACTGACTGTACCTGGTTATCTTCCTGAAGTTGGCAATTATCTATCCTGGTCTCTCGTGGAACTTTATTCAGTGCGGTTTGTTTTTGTTTTTTGCTTTGTTATCTGCTGTTTGAATTTGAACTATGTTTCTTTCGTTTGGAATGTTATTTTGAAAATAGTTTAATCTCCAACTGTGAACAATTAAACAGTGAAACCAAGTTGAAGGCATTAAAGGACCTTTATTTACGTTTTGGTTTTTGTTATATTTTTGATACACTCCGGGTCATCACATTAACATAAGTTTAAATACAAGAAATAGGAACTAATATTTGGGGACAATAGAACAGGGACAATTGTGTGCTTATGCACGCCCCTTACAGCCATCTTAGGAATGGGATGAAGTCAATAGAGGTTAGTTTGAAGGTAAAGGAGTGGGGTTTGAGCAGGTAACAACAGAATCAGGTAGTGAGTTCCAGGCATTGACCAGAAATCGTACTTCCTGCAATCAAGCTTGGAGTGGTTTACATTTAGTTTATATCTGTTCTATGCTCTTGTGTTGTTGTTGTTAAAGCTGAAATGTTCATTAACTGGTAAGATGTTGCAACATATGATTTTATGTACTATGCTTAAGTCTAATCTTAGACGGTGTATTTCAAGGTTATCTAAGCCTAGAATCTCAAGTCTGGTGCTGTAGGGTATTCTGTTGCGAACAGAGGAATGTAATACTCTTCTGGTAAAATACTTCTGGACTCGCTCAATTGCATTTATGTCTGATATACAGTGCGGATTCCAGACAGCAGAGCTGAATTCAAGTATTGGTCTAGCAAAGGTTTTGAATGCCCTAGTTTGCAAATCAGTATTACCATTAAAATCTCAACATCTTTCTTGTAATGTGGTGACCAAAACTAGATGCAGTATTCCAGATGTGATGTTACTAAGGTTTATAAAGCAGTAATATTATTTCACATGATTTTGATTCTATGTATCTGTTTATACAACCAAGGATTGAGATACAATTTATTGGGGACAGACAGAGAAAATATACTTAGTATTCCTGGAAAAGGGAGTAAAAGATGCAACGAAGAAATGATAAGAAAAGAAGAGTCTTAGTT